GAGACCAACAACCTCATAGCCACTGGGGGTTCTGTGGGTGTTGTGAAATATTTGGAAAATCTCCTTTTTAATCAGTGAGGGTCACCACCTCAGAGAGGAGAAGACTTAAAATGCTAAAGAGGGATGGTGGGGAGGACAAACGGTGGGTCTGTGCACGACACAGAGTGCGCTTTGTGATGCCCGAGGACTCTGAAGCATCATGTGAAGTTGGACACAGACCATGTTGAATACATTGCCCCAGAAAATAATCCTCTCCCTCTCTCTATCAACAAAAACATTTGCATGTCTCCCACATTCTCATACTTTTAAAAGCCAACGAAAGCTATCAAAATACGTTTGACCTTGATAAGCAAAGCAGTGACGTAGGACACTCTCACGACTCTTAACTGGGCTGTCATTTCTGAGGACACGAGATTGCTGGTTGCTGCACATTTTAAGGTGTTGAAGCCATAAAGTTGATGCTTATAAGAGTAAAACTTGCTGAGTTACTACAGAAAAGTTTAGCACAGGTTCAAAGAGGTCCCTCAGGGGGCCACTGAGTGTTTCAGCCACAGATAATAAATATCAGCCACAAAGCTGCTTCACAGTATTGTTAACCTTTAGCAACTATTGCTCACAATTTGTCACATTATTGACCAAAGATTAAATAAAGATAAATGATTAAGAAGTGTAGTGTTTAACTGTGCAACCATCTAGAACTACATGAGACATAAATGTTAATAAAGATGCCATATTGCTGTATATACCTGACTAATCGCGCCTGCCTGCTGGCTGCTTCAAGCTCCATCACTTGGCACTGTTCCTCACAGCATCTCTTCAGGCTTGGCAGCCTTCTTCTTGGCTACCACGAGCTCCTGTTGCCCAAACAGTCACAATGCTCTTCTGCTACACTCCGCTGCTCTCCGTGGACGTGTGAATCTCCCTCTCTGTTGTCGACTGTTTCACTCTGGTCTGACTTGTAGCAGCAGTCCTCGCTTGGTGCTCTACCTACGCTGGCTGTTAGCACTCAGTCTGTTTTTCTGTCCACTAACAGTGCACTCTCTGTGAGCCCCTTCTTTCTTCCTCCCCCTCTTCTTCTTCACTGTCCCTCCCTCTTGCCCTGCCCTTGACAGCCTCTCTGTCTTTTGCTGAGTGTGGGTTTCTGACTCAAGAATTCCCACACACACATTAAAAAAAACAAAAAACAGCTGTTTTCTCGTGCTTCTGTTTTTCCCCTTGCATTATTTAAATTCTCAGTGTAGCTTTACTACAATCAGAGATTTGGATGCCAGTCTTGAGTCATCACCCCCAATAAAAGCCAAAATATTCAGAGAATGAGGGGCACAATGAGACAAAGGCTTTAAGGCTCTGGCTTACTTCCAAAACCATGCCATGTGCAAGACAAAGTAAAGTTTTGAGTTAGGAAAGCAATTTGACATTTGGTTGATGGATTGTTTAGGCACTTTAAATCTATTAAAGTTTAAATTATTAAAAGAAAAAGAAGCCTTAAGAACAGATGTAAAACCTTCAGAAGCTGCATTAAAATATAAGATAACCAATTATTTTATAATTAGCCTGTCTAGAGTTGAAAGGCTCCCACAATTAGGCAAAAATAATTTTCCGAGATGGTCCCTTCTTATATATTTTTTCTGCTATGCCAAGTCAGCGTCTTGTATAGCTGATTGTAGAGAGTACAGAAGAAAACTAATGATGCTCCGTTAATACAGCTATAAAAAAAGAAGAAGAAGAAAGAAAGTACAGCGCTTTAAGGTTGACGGATTGAGAGTAATTAAAACTATGTCTGTTATATACTTATATGTACAAAAGCTTAACAGGAAGAAAGGCACTCAAAGAGAAACTGAATGCTGATAATCAGCAGTGTACACATGCCTCAGGAGAGCTGGTGTTATTGTAGCACAGGAGTGAGATATCAAAAGCATTTTAAGTGGTATGATAAGAACACGGGAGAGAAGAGAAAAGTCAAGTGTAAGCAGGAGCGCCCTGAAGCCTGGTTGGCAGTATCTTTAATCTAAGAGTATCTCCTGTGAAATGAGCTTTTCAGAATCCTGCGACCTAGACGCAAACACTCAAGCTATTTCTCAACACTCAATAATAATCGTGCTGTCTTATAATTAGCTCACGTGTCCAGGCCATTTGCTTTTATCCAGGAAGGTCTTGACCCGGGATGCTCAGGATGTCCCGTTCTCACATGGGACAAATCAGCTAGCCTACAGTAATTATTGACCACTCCCTTTTAACATAGTGAGCAGTCGCCCGCATGCAGTGACAGACAGCTGCATGACTACTAATAGTCTCCTGTTACACGCTGAACAACCTGTGGGGCCCTCTCATAGGATTATGGGAAATGCAGTTTATTTTAGTGAGGAAAAAATGGCCAAATTAGCTTGAAAGGTCAAAGGTCAAGCATAAATCACACCAACAACATTTTATTCAGCTGCATCCATCAGATGATTAAATCACAGGAAGATTTCTCTGGTCAAAGGTTTGTTATTGGTATTGTCATTTGAAAGCGACCTTGTTTGATGCCCGTTCACTGATTGAGCTTATACCGTGTTAATTATTTATTTAATTTGTTGTTAATTAATTATTTATTTAATTTTCAATTGATTAGACTTTTCCTAATAATGTAGATCTCGCATAATACACACATAGATTATCTACAATCTACAATAAGGTTTAAGGCCATTTTGAATTAGTTCCTACTAAAAACAATTTTTCTAGATAATAATTTGTTATTCGTTGTAAGTATTGTGTTGTGAACTAATAGGTAAAATAGTTAAAGTTTGTGATCTACACTATGTGACAAGTGATAACATAGAACATAATTTTCCCCATATTCCCTTAAACAACATTCATGATTAATTTTCTAGAGAAAAAAATACACACAATAGCACTTTAACATGTTTTGTGATGTTCCATATGTTCCATACAAAAACGAAAGATCCAAAAAAGAGAAATCAATTTTTGTGTGCACGTGGTTTGGTTTTCTGTTGTGGTGTACTGACAAGAACGATCCAGCAGGTGGTGCTGTTTAATAATTTCGTACATCACTGTTTCTGCTGAGGGCACTTTTCATTATGGGCATATATGATAAATAAAAATATGTTTAAAAAATACATTGATTAGCTTCATGTTAAAATACTTTATTATTGTATGTTTTAATAGTAAATAGAGAGTAGTACAGCCACAATTGGAAAAGAAAAGCCACAATTGTTACTTGCAACCAGAAAAGTATACACGTGAAACATTTGTCCAGCAGCAGAGCATGACAACAGTGTAAAGTGTTATGTATAGATAATATGGAGCGAAAGAGCAACATGAAACTGGTGACCCTATCAGTCCATGTTAGACTGCAGATAGTGTGAATGTGGGCTAGTAGATACGTGACAACAAATCTTTTGGAACCAGTATAACTTCATCACAGTAATGCTTGAGTAGCTTCTGCTGTCGATCAGGTGGAACCATGAAGGAATAATATTGTGGAAGCACACTGGAACAAACAGAACTTAGTACTGGTCAGTAACTGGTTCTATCTGCTGCACACAAAAAGCTCGGAGAGTGTTTGAAAACAGGACATTGGAGAAAATCCAACTCTCATCATATCACGCTACTACGGGAAGATTCATAAAACGTTCTAACATTCAATTCAAAAATATTTAAAGGGATATTTTAAATTTTAAATTCTGTCTGTATTGTTTGCAAAGCATGTTCACACAACAGCAGGGATTGCTGGTCATTCCTCCCACCCTCACCCTGCATCCTCCTTATGCCATGCTATATGTGTGACCATATGTGCCATTTGCTTTATAGCATATATCACTTTGCTCATTACACCAGCAGAGAGTTTCCACTCTTCCAACTCTCTCTTCCAACTCTCATACCTATCATATGATCACATATACACATCCAAAACACGCAGTGAGGTGACACCGTGGGTTTTATTACTCTTGGATCCAAGTCTCCGGTTTCATTTTCTTTGGTCAATGATGGATGTTTGTACCTGTCATATCGGTTTAACTGTACTGGCTGTAAATTCTTATATATACACATCACAAGAATCACACTGAAATAGCCTAAATAAACTAAGCTAAGCTTAATTTGGTTGGTGTTTAACTGCCTAAAGCTAGAGGTGCAGTTTTTGAGTATTACTAATTAAGAATAAGTAAATGGATAAAGTACAGAAAGCATTGATTTGACTACACGTGACTTCATTTTGACCCCCTTTGAAGAGCGAGATTTCTACTGACCTGCTTCTGGAAGGGTAATGTCCGTATGTCCTCTGCTGTCTCAACGCTGACATGACTGTCATTGTATGTACAGTATGCAGAAGCAATGACAACAGTTTAAATGTGTCAAATACCTGATTGACTTGAATGCATTGCTTACTGGGGCTTTTCTTGGCACTTGTTAAATCTATATCAATATGTCTAACATCCAACTGGGGTCTTCCAAGGGGTCAGTATCTCTGTCTAAATATTACATTACATTAAAAAATTGCAGCATATTTAGCTGATATACCACTGACGTCTGTGGGTGCCTTGTGGGCAGGATAACAGTTAAATGAGTGCCACTTTTAGTTCCTATTAAGCTGATGCTTTAGTTTTGAAAGCAGTAGGAGGTAAGGTCAGGCTGTCAAAGACAGAAACTAATGTTCGAGCTGGAGCATCTCACATGTCAAAGTGAGCCCCTTTAAACTCCAGGGAAGCAGTTTCTAGTCAGGTTTCTTTACTGAACAACACTGAAGGAGTTTTATGTTGTGCGAACTTAACACTGTGCATACGACTTTATTTTAACTACTTAAAAAGCTTCAGACATTGACCACAGACAGAAAACGTGCAATTAATTTCATTTTCAGTATAGAACCAAAAACAAATCTCAAAAAGATGAATTGTATGTAATCCTGAATTTATCCAAATTTGAATATGCTGCATGTTTAATTAATTTAAATCATACCGATTATATTAGATAATAGGAATAAAGAGAAAGTCTTTCTGCCAGGTAAGAAAATAAGCTTTAATTCAAATATTTAGATTAATCATTTTAAGTCTGTTGCAATATCCCTTTTGGATTTTATTTATTTATATTTCATTTATGCCAATTGAAATTTTATACCTACTACACAGTTAGACACCAGCCTTATGTAATTTCCATAGCAGCACTCTGGGGAATCACAATTAGATTTGGTACTTGGTCTGATTTTACAATGAGTCTAACATCCACCTTGTGAGTGTACTTCTGTACTGCTTAAATCCTGATTCTGTCCCTACTTTTTGTTTTTGTTTTTTTTGCATATTTTTGCTGTCTTCATACTATAGCAACATTCACATTAGCAAAAAAAAGAAAAAAAGTCTCCTTTTTCCATACTTTATTTTTGATTAACATTTTTTCATATTTAACATTTTACATACACTTATGTCTAACTAAATATACATTCTTAGCAAACAATAACAATAGAGAAATACAAATACACACATATATATTAGTATAAACCTTGAGTGGTCCTGTGTTTTCAGAAAAATCCAACAGTGTGGACAGCATTCAGAAGGTGACTCCTTTCTGAATATCTTCTAATTGCACTTTGCTCCCTTGATTAAAATGTTTTTTAAAAATTTTCTGTTTTCCTCAGAGATACTGTAGTGTTTTGGTAAAATATAAAACAGCTTTATTGCAGCTTTATTGCAATAGGATAACAGCTACTTCACTCCTCACCCAACAAGAGTTCAGCTCCACTCAATTTTAGATATGATTATAATCTGCCTCTATGCTTCCACTCCTTTATTCCTCCTTCTTTTTGATTACACAGTCAGAGTTTGTTCCTACCCATAAACCTGGCATCATTTTCTCCTTTAAGGAGCTCTTAAACTGCTTCAGAAGTTTAACCTCCTTTTTCCCATTGCGTTCTCCTCCCTCAATCACATCCTCCACAGCATAAAAATTAATGACACCAACAGGCTGGTCAACATATACACCTATTGTGGAGCACCTGGGAAGCTCCACAATCTGTGTAATGCGACCGTTGTGCCAGGCATGATAGCTGGAACCACTCCAGCCGAGACCCCAGGACTCCTCGTTTTCTCCCAGGCCACAGGGCCCATCCTTGTTCCTTCTTCCAGCTCCTTCGTATGCGACTCCAATCACAACCCATCCAGAATACTCCATTTCCCAGTAGCCTCGGCTTCCCAGGATTCCCTCTTTGCAAAGAACCTTATGCACAGAGGTGATAATGTCACTATAATACACACTGAGCTAATCCTATAGCGTAATGTGAGAGAATTTCAAGCAGCATTGCTTTCTCCTTTTTGGAAATACAACACCAGTAGGTTCAGGTTTGAAATAAACTTGGGGTACATACTGTTTCCAAGCACATCTAATTTTACACCATTGTAAACATTTAAAATGAGCAGAAAATACATTTGTAATATATGCCATTTCTGGCTAAATGCATCCTCATACTCTACCTGTGGAGCGTACTCATATCGCTCTGGTCTGTCCAAGACAGGACACGTGAGGTTATCAGTCATTCTGGCCACTTTGGCACCACCTTCTGTGATCCACAGCATTTTATTGGCTGTTTTGTCATCCAGAGACAAGTTAATCCAATCTGACAAAGCAAAAAATAAATAATAATAAACAACAACTTAACAAATGGTGCTTGGAAAGAATTGTAAAAAAAAAAACTGCACAAACAAACTTACATTTGATAAGATCAGCTCTACATTTGGGTTCAGGGATATTTGTCTCATACCCTGGGATCTTCTCTGCTGAGTAAAATAACAATAAATGTCAGGAGATACTAAACAAGTTAGATGAACCATAGTGGGGGCAGCCTTTAAAGAAGGCATGATTTAAAAAAGAAAATCAAAAAGATAATCCAACCTGTGGTAGGATTCAAGTTTTACCTGTGGGCGTTTTTACCACTTTGGCCTTTTTTCCTGAAACCAAAGAAACCTTTATTAACATCAATATTCTTAACTGGTATAAATATTATGCGGGGGGTAGGTGACAGGTGCATCTCAAGCGGTGATGAAGTGAACCACAGGAAAACTGGGTATACTTAGAAAAGCATCTGCCTTTGTCAGATCATCACATCAGAGATTGCATGCTTTCTAGAGTCAGTGGTGGATTCATGCCAGGCAGTTGGAATGACCAATACATCTCAGATGCTGTTGGGGTTGGCTTCAGTCACACTAGACTGCAGCGTGAAGCTCAAAGCAGATTATGAGATGAGAAGAGTGACATGATCTGTCTGTGCAAATCAGATAAGTTAGGGATCTAGATCCTAAGCTAGTTTATTGCCACAAGATCATAGGAAAGTCATCCAAGTGTCAAGTCACACCTAGCTGAATTAAAGTCAGAGTTAATGTGAAGATAATGGATTGCAACACATGCAACATGGGCATCCCTAAAATTAATAATGCAGAAGGCTGATCTTAGCAAAATCACTTCCCACTTAATTTCTAACTGATTAATTGTTGCATAACAGGCACTTAAGCCAGATATGAAAGTGATATTTTGCTGTCACGCATAGGGATGCAGTCTCAGTGTTTTGGTAAGGACACTTAATCTTCACTGCATTAAGATATGAACCTTCAAAAACACAAGTAATGGGATGTATTTATACCAACACGCATCATCTCAGAATATTAATCTACAAACATGTAGCTGCTCATATCTAAACGGTTTAAAATATCTGCTGCAATATATCTGAAAATTGTGGTGACAGAAAACAGACTAGACAAAAAACAGTAGATGATACCTGGAATTGTAATACATGTATTCTTTTTGGCTTTTTCTAAATTATAGTACTGATTCATTTACTGTGTTTCTGTCGACCCTTTGACTTTTGTTTTGCATTAGTTAAGATGAGTACAGACAAGTTATAAGCTATGATAAGATCTGCAAAGACACTATTTGTAAAGACAGTATCTGTTCAGTGGAGGCTGAAAACATGTGACCATTTTCGAAGCTGTTCTTGTAACTTACAGTATAATACATAAATGCATTCCCATGGGTTACATCTGGTTCAGGCAGATGATGCTTTTTGTTTTTAAACCATTGCTCCCAGGGAATAATACCATTATAAACCCATCAACAACAAGCAAAGAAATGTGAAAGTATTGTAAATAAATATAGGTTTTTTTTAAAGACATTTTTATACAGACAAACTCTGGTCAACCGTTCTCTCAGGATCTGCCTGTGAGGATGAAGAACACTTCACTGCTGAAAATGCAGTTTGATTCACCTCAGTGAGTACATTTAAAGCATATCACTGTAGTATGTACATGCTGGAAAAAGGAAAGGAAAAAAAAGTTATATATCTTTAGATAAAATATATTTAAAAAATCACCTTTTTCTGCCTTCCTCGTCTCCAAAATGATTCTGTTGGTGTTAGGCATCTTGATACCAGCTTGCTATTTGAGTAGCTTGAGTCTATCTCGACCTGATGTGGTTGGTCTCACTGAGGATGAAGAGTATTCGTTGACTGGACTATGTGACAACTTAATGCAGTGCTTATATACCTTTGGTGCAGGACAGAGATGAAGGAATCATCATTGGTGGTGACATAAGAGATAAAAGTTACCAATAGAAAAGAAGGGGAGGCAGGAGGTTTGTAATGAGAGCTGTGTATGTATGTTTTCCTTTTAAAGTATAGAAGGATTCTTCGGCGTCTCTAGGACGCCCCTTTTACCAAGTAAACCCCACCCTATTCTCTCTACATCACCTCCAGTGATCTCTGTACATTGCCCACTGACAGTGCTGATGTACTTATGGTGGATGTATGTGGAGCAAAGCTATGCAAACGCACACACATACAAATTCTAAGTACCAATCTAAAAAAAACAACTTTAGCTTTTAGATATGATACTTTATGTCCTTACAGCAATACAAATAATAATAAAAAACCAATAAATTCAGTTACAAGTAGCTTTAGATATGAATTTAACTGTTTTAAATTATTATCATTACCAAGGTTGTTACTATGGTAAAATGTTCTTAAAATTCTGTTACTTAAAATACTAATGCAACCTGAAAAGAGGATAGATTCTTTTTGTTTTCACTTTTTAAAATACATTTACAATTGCTATGCAACATCCATATCACTGTACATATCAGCACACATGCAAAACTAGTTCAAGTTCAAGTTTTAATCCTGAAAACCGGATTTAATGTGACTAAGTGTGACCCAAATACTGCGACAGGGAGTTGCCTGAGTGGAGGTTCCTTGGTTCATCGTACCAGGCTCAGCTGTGCTCATGCCCCACATCACTTCCTCATAAACCGTTCGCCATTACAGATGCCTCAATGTGAACAGGTCGGGTTAAAAGAAAAAAGCATGTCGCTGATTGTAAACCCGTTCTTGTGATCATCTCTCTGCTCTCCACGGCAGACTGAGGTGTTTACTGTTTCCGGCAACCTGCCAAACCTCATGTCAAGGCTGCCTCATGATTCTTGTGTTCCTGCATGTGCAAGCAGATGACTCACTGAAGCGCTGATTGCAGTGCTGACATTAAATAGTACATGCCGTGCATGCCATGCACTGTGGTGTCAGAAGTGTCCCAGAGTGCCCAAGTGTTTACATCTGTGTCTGAAATACTTTGTTTCTTCTCTCACATGATGATAATAAACCAAATGCATTGATCATTTGAAACTTTTAAATAAATAAATATAAGTATGTTTTATTAATGTGGCTTAGTGGGAAAAGACCAAAAATCTACCAAAAACAGTATATAAAATGGGAACACAAGTTCTATATAAAAGTAGTAATAAAGGAATAAAGAAAAATGTGTTTTTCTTTAAAGTAATGTTTTTAAAACAAAATGAAACCAAATAAACCAGGTTTATCTTTTTATCCATCGCCATCTCTAATAGGCCCCCTCTGTTCTGGACAGGATGAGCACATTAATGAACATGATGGTATTAATTATATCTCTATTATGTAAGAAAACAACAACAAAAAAACAAAACAAATCAAAGCAACTCAGCTTAGAGGTGGAAACGTGGACTCTGGAAAAACCCGGCACTCACCCGGACCATGACAATCAGTATGTAGTGTCACTAACACTGTGGGGCTCTATAGGTTTCTCTGGTCCCTTCTTCAATCTTCTCCTTCAGTGCTGCAACCACTGCATGTCATTAACGTTCTTCTCGTTCAAGGAGATTTTCCCCTTCTCTATACTCTCCTGGGAACGTTAATCCATCAGTGTCAGATGAACTGTTCAAACTGTACCTCAGCTGCCCTGACCTCTTCACTCTTAACCTTACCTTGTTAACAGGAAACAGAGGAGTTAGAGGATTAGACGGGTGACATGAAAGCAGATCCTGAGAAGTAATGAACAAGGCTGCAAGCGAGCACATAGATATGATAGGCGGTAAATTAGGCAGAAGATATGGACCCAAACTTAGTGCTGACATATGTTCATAACACTGGAATAAGGATCAGTAATTACAGGATTGCACTGAGAATTTTCATGGATAAACTGCACGGGGATCTGTATGAAGTCTAACTGAAGTCATAATCTGAGCATTATTATTATTATTAGTAGTAAAACCAACAAAATAACTTAATTAAATATATCTTCTTTTACTGCTGATACTGTGCCATTGTGACTCCTACTATAAACTGTCAAATAGAAATGTGGACCATGCTTTATTTGTGGGTAAGGAAAAGCTGTCTCTGTCTCCCCCTACTGGCTGTCATTAGGAACAACATGTCCCAACAAATCTGGAAACTGTAATAGCTCCTCTGCAATACAGCCAGATGTTCAGCAGTTGTTCTGCTTGGATGGACATATTTTTGCACCATAGATTAGTCTTTAAAAATAAAAGCAAACAATACAAACTAAAATTTTGGATCATTTGAAGACATCAGGGGTTTTATAACAATATTACATAAAAGTAAACTCCTATAGAGCCGATTTGGAACAAGTTTTTCATCATATTAATGTTACATGGTTAAACAGATTTCTTGAACATGAGAGAGCGCATTCTTTTTAACTGCTTCGATTGCAATTTTTTTTCCCCCTCTTTGAACACAGGGTGAACTTTTACAGTAACATTCCCATCTTACTGATCACAGGACATTCATTCTAATGCTTCTAAATTTCTCTTTTTTATATCTATCAACATGCAGTGTTTGAACAAGGCTCAGAAGGTGATAGATGCAAACAGAGGACATGGGAAGTATCATGAAATTTGCAACACTGAGGGTTATGTGGAGAAGTAACACAATTGTCTAGAAAAGGAGACAGTGAGACACAATCACGAGCAAAAACAAAAGGTTTTTATTAAAGATGAATCTTAATAATAATAATAATAATAATAAATTTTATTTATGAGCGCCTTTCAAGTCACCCAAGGACACTTTACAATAGGATAAAACACTTAGTAAAACAATGGCAGAATAAGAACAATAAAATAAAGCACAAGATAAAATGAACAAACAGTGGATTCACAGTGAATATGCAGATTTGAACAGATGAGTTTTGAGTTGGGATTTAAACTGGGGGAGAGAACCAGTGTTTCTTATTTCAGGGGGCAGAGAATTCCACAGCCTGGGAGCAGAGCAGCTGAAAGCTCTGCTTCCCATGGTGGTGAGGCGGAAGGAAGGTACAGTAAGCTGGACAGAAGAAGAAGAACGAAGTGAACGGGCAGAACAAGTGGTGGTTAACAGGTCAGAAAGGTAAGAAGGAGCGAGGTTATGAATGGCCTTGAAGGTGAGCAGAAGAAGTTTGAAAATTATCCGGAATTTCACAGGGAGCCAGTGAAGTTCCTGAAGAACAGGGGTGATGTGCTGGTAGGAGGGGGTTCTGGTGATAATGCGAGCAGCAGAGTTCTGAACCAGTTGAAGCTTATGGAGGGATTTTTGGGGGAGACCATGCAAAAGAGAATTGCAGTAGTCAATACGGGAGGTAACAAGACTATGTACAAGAATGGACGTAGACTGGGTGGAAAGAGAAGGAAGCAATCTGTTAATGTTACGTAGATGGAAGTAGGCAGAACGGGTGAGGTTATTGATGTGTGATTTATAAGAAAGTGAACTGTCTAGGATGACACCAAGGCTCTTAACCTGAGGAGAAGGGAGAACTGTGGAGTTATCGATGGTGAGTGAGAAATGGTTTGCCTTCAAAAGGCCTGTAAGTAAGTGCCAGGCTGCTACTACTAACTAACACAAGAACAAACACAGCAGAGGCCGGTCAACAAAGCAATTCACAGATTCTCCTCAGAGAAAGCCTAAGCGGTCACAAACACACACAGATCACATGAAGCAAAGTCAAAAGGCACTTTGGCACTGGCAGTGTCTTCTGCATCAATTTGTGCCAAAGCTAAATGCTGGCACAAATGCTGGGAAAATGTGTGGTTTCTAAGACAGGGCAGAGAGAGCACTAAACTAAACTAAACTAAACTAAACTAAACTAAACTAAACTAAACTAAACTAAACTAAACTAAAACAATACTTTCGCCATATGAAACTAGTACTTTTATTGCCTAAAAATGAGTACTTTTTAATCTAAATTGAGTACTTAGAGTACTAAGTAGAATATTTTTTATCTAGTTTTTAAACTAACCAAGTACATAACTGGTCTCTTCTGCTTAGAAGTCATGCTCGGTGCCAAGCACTGTGACATTGTCATAGTCTTCATATAATTCATCTCCTCCTCCATCACACTTGGTCATCTCCATGGAGACAGCTGGATTGTTTGTCATCTTCCTGCTCCAGTAGATAGACAGAAGCAGACCAGTAGAAAAGCAGTAAGGACTGAAGACCACTAGATGGCGGAAGAGTCTCAGCACAAATGAACCTGAGTGGGCGCCAGTTAAATTTAAATTAGAGATGTTTTGTGTTGTAGCATTGAGACAGACTATTTATGTTTTGTCAAATTTAATAGCTGTGTCAATGAAATGGCATTTAGGGACAGTATACAGTGCTCTCTTTATGACTTCTAAGCTTTTTGCATATTTGTTAAAATGAGGTTTTTCAGATCACACATTTCATATTAGACGAAGATAACTCAAGTAAATTAACTTCTAAAGGGAGCAAAAGCATTATTAAAATACAACGAAGTTAAAAAATGTAGAGGTTTATTTTTAAACTTGAGTGAAATGACATGATTTGTAATCAAGTCAAAGTTGAAAATACTGTATACTGTTATGATTACAAGCAGTAACATGGTAATGTAGTTACTTTTACTCACCCCTTGGATCAGTTTGGCAGTAAAACACATGCGGTTCAGAACTCCTCACCCCAGACAGTGAAGTTACAGACACCTTATATTTTTTGGCAGGTTGGAATCCATCGATTATGATCTCAGTTGCAGGACTAGCTACTGTGTGAGTCTTTCCAGCCACATTCACCTCCGCATTGGTCCACTCCCCCTCTGGAACTGTCCATTTAATAAGAA